AAACACTACATAGATGAAATGCATTTACGAAATTGATAAAATAAATAAATGTTTTCTTACTGAGCATAATAATATAATAAAGAAACACTTTCAAAAACCCAGTTTGTGGTCTAATCTAACTCATGTAGTAACTTGTAAGGCTTAATCAAAATCCATGGCATAATGCTACATAAATGAAACGCATTATTAAGTAAATATTTAGTAACAGACTGCCCTGAATCATTGAATATATATAAAAAATCTCAACTAAACCCAGTTAAACATTTACTGATCACACCATAATCTCTCTTCTACACACTGCACAGGGAGATAGTAAAAACGGAAAACCTTTCTTGCAGGAAAGCGATAGCTGCATTGACATCTAGACCGGTTTGAGAAAGGCAAATCTGGACGTCTTCCAAGAACGACGCCGCCGGAATTCCTCTTCTCTCCGGCACACTTGCTAAATGTAAAATAAGAAAATTCGGATTGGATTCTTGGAGATTTGAATTGTTGAGAGGGGAGGAGACGGCCAGACGACGGGAGTGAAATCATTGTTGATTATTCGTTTAGGTTATTAAAAGAAAAAAAAATTTGGCAAAAATGGAGTGTGGGCATCAGGTGTTGGGCTGGGCCTGACTTGAAAAAAAGGGGGGCCAAAAAATGAGGCCCCCTCCACTTTTGGGCCTGAGGCGCTGGCCTCATTTGCCTCGCCTCAGGGCCGGCCCTGCTTGCGAGATCACAACCCTTTGTCAACAATAGGGGTGAAATTGCAATCACCCTAAACTTTGAGGACAAATGTGCAACATTTCTCAAATTAAAATACCATCTTCATGTCGTTTGAAGCACAATATGCAAATATATTTTCTGCGATCAAGCTGATGAAATCAGAGGTAGAAATACTTCATAACTTGTTAAAATAAGCTAGAAGTCTTGTCTATTACAGTGTTGCGTCATGTCTAATGCTCCGTAAAATTTTCATATTTTCAGTTCAAGAAGTACGACCATGAAAATAAAATTACAATATCATTAAAATTGAATGAAATGTCCTAGATAATGTAAACATTGAGGGGTATAATGAAAGAACTGGATAAACCAAACAACATGCCATGATTAAGACCACTACATAGAGATCAATTACACAAGCTTCTTTGGTCAAACACGAAACGAGGTACTTGAAATAACATTGGCAAATAAACAAGAGCAAAGGAAAGAAAAACTTAGCAACAACTGCTGGTAGATGCATCAGATTCCGGAGGTTTCTGTTTGAAGATGTTCTTGACACCACTAGAGCCTTCAGCCAAGAGACTCGGAGTTTCCAAAATCTGATAATGTAAGTTAATGCTGAATACATTAACAAGAACAACAGAGAGTTCTACTAAGCTTAAAAGAAAGTAAAGTAACTCTTTTTTCTACAAAACTTGTTTGGATAACTTACTTTCGTTTTAAGTTTAAAATTTATGTTTTTTAAAAGTAATTCTTCCTGTCAAAATAAGTAGCTTTTTTCCAACTTTCAACAATAAAAGACTTATTTATTTCAAAGCTTACTTAGTTACTTATAAGTAAATTCACTTGTACCATAAACTTTTTTTACTTTTAGCCAAACATGCTCAAGGTTCTTACATATGCGGCATGGGTGGTGCGTTTTTTATGCCAACATTATCCTTTGATGCGGGTAACACAAGCACAGCATAACTCAATTTGACAAGTCTTAATCAAATATTTAACTTGGGCAACATCTGGCAAATAACAACTTGATGGTTGAAAAATCTAACGTTACAAAATGATGCAGATGTGTATGAACATATAAGACTACATTTTATATGTTGCACTTGCATCTAATTGTTATTAATATTTCAGCTGAAGGGTTGTCAAAAGCAAGGTTCAATATTTCTCTCACAATTGACGAAGAAAATATGCAAATAAAGCTCTTTGTCTATGTAAATTTTTGCCATGGTATTTCTAAAAAATTATCTGAGAAAATAACCTGTCTAGGTTCCTACTTAGCTAGCCCCGAATAAAGGAGAAATATTGTGGCAAGTTGACAACTAATGTAACATTTTGTCACATCTATTATATAATTTGATCAGAACTTTGTTGATGTGTCCTTTACAAAGGACGAAATATATAATACCCCAGACCTATTAAGATTGGACAATAGTTAGCTAAGGTCTATCCTACGAGCGATGCGGCACATATCTTTTACCCTTAATTCATCCTTTAATCTGGTGGCGAAACCTTATCTCAACACATATCTTTTACACTTAATTTATCCTTTAGTCAACAGGGAGATAGATAATCATGCAAGGATTATTAGGTGCTGAGATCCTAACGACATAGCATAGGTTACTGGCAATTAATTGACCCGAACAAGACACATGATTTCTATTTCAACTAGTGGGTCACTCATTAGACCCCAATTCTATATAAAATTTTAACAAAAAAAATGATTTACATATACAAATACAAGCATAAGTTTACAATGCATTGCATAACAGAAAAGCATGGGTATCTGCATAAAGTTGATTTCCTGTTCACACTCATTGCATCTATTTTATGGTATATTATTTATGTAGAGCTCATGAAAGGTTATTACTTAAAACACTTACTGGCTTCTGCTAAATCATATTATTTATGTAGAGATCAAGAAAGATTATCACTTAGAATACTCGCATATCAGCAATCACAGGTCAAGGACCCAAAATCAAAGATAAATACTCCAAATAATATGGAGTCAGTAGATAGGTTAGATTGGGCCGGGCCATCTCCCTAAGGCTAAATAAGTCACAGTGTGCAAGAAACCCAAACTAATAAAAGCAGGCAAACAGCCCACCCAAAACATGCATGTAGGTGGATTCATAACCAAGCACAGACAAAAGATCAATGGGGTGGAAGAAAAATCATACGAAAATGCACGGTTACCATACTCACCTTCAAAACCAGTTCCTCGAAACATTGCTCCACATTGACCCTAGTTTTGGCACTGCATTCAATGAAGAGGCACCCATACTCCCTTGCAAAGTCAATTCCCTCTTTTTTGCTAACAGTCCGTTCACTATCCTGCAAAGTATTCTAGATGTGATGGTAATTTGGGACATTTGGTTCAGAACTGTAACGTGTAATTCAAATACAAAGAAAGCACCTCGCATTAAGGGCAAATAGAGGAAACATAACATGGGATCATAATATCTTGAGGGAATATGAATATCTAGGTAATACCACTAAAAGATACCTTATCAACTTTGTTGCCTACGAGCATCTTGATACAATCTTGATTTGTTGAGTAGAGGTCAATTTCTTTAGCCCATATATCAGAGAGATTAGTGAATGTTTCTCGCCGTGTCACATCATACACTGTTTCATAATAAACGGTTAGGTACGCAAAACGTACAAAGGCTTTTGATAGATCTGAGAAGAGAACAAAACTGAAAGTAAGAGAATCACTATATCACTTGAAAACAGAAATCAGGAAAAATAGATTGCATGATACCTTGTAAATGTGTGTGTCTGTAGTATAATGTGAAATGAACGCTGCATAATGCAACGTACATAAATTGCAAAATAAATCAAGCAACTGATAGGCATAAAACTGGACGTGCAGGCTGAAAAAACAAAGGACATATACGAGAACACAACAAACTTGCAAGTAAGTTATTCTAGAGAAACCAGTTAAAAGCGAAAATTGGATTGAATAGATTTGATATGATCTTGCAGTGTGTGAATGTCTTATCATTAATGTCCTAAAATGCAAGACTACGCTAGGGCTGGACAAAACTCCTGAATCGAACCAGAACCGAACCAGAATCGAATAGAACCGAATCTAAATAATTTTTAAAATTTTTTATATTGAATTAATTAAATTATTTTAATTTTTTCTAAACAAATTAGAAAATTAATTATATAAATCTGATTATTTCATAATTTTAATTTTAAAACCCAAATCATTTTTAAAACTCATTAGACCATGTTAATTTGAAACAAATG